AGAGTCAACCTCAAAACTTCAGGATTTTTCCATGAGTAGACTGATTTTGCTAAAAATTATGAACAACTGCTCTCAAATTTCTCTGATTAATTTCTGAATCCCTGCCCACCTATCTCCTGTAGTATATCTTGAGGAAAATGATTCTGTGAATTTTTTTATGCTGCACAGGTATATGGAAAGAGGCCCCTTCCTGTGGCTCAGATTTATACACATTTCCGTGCTAGGACGTGGCACAGGTAGGGTTAGCCCAGCAGTCTGACTGCCTTCAGGTGCTCATCTTACCAGATGAGACGGTCCGTAATCTCTATTAACTCATGTGTCACCTCACAGATAATCAAATAGAATAGATGTGCATATATGTGCTCTATAAATTTTCATAAAAAATGAAAACGAAGCCAGGCTTGACAGTACATGTTTGTGATCCCAGCATTTGGGAGGTGAAGCAGGGCAATCATGAATCTAAGTACAGCCTGGGCTAGACAGTGAGACCCTGTCTCTACATGCAGGCAATACATGCATACACATAAAATAAATAAATAAATAAATAAATAAATAAAATTAAAAATAAATAAATAAAATATAAAAAAATCTAGCTGTTTAAAGGATAAGAAATTCTTTACACAATATAATTGTTACATGGCCTTTAATTGGACAGGAAATATATATGTATACATATATAATTTATATTGCACTTGGCACAGATATGAGTTTAATGATGTGGTAAGAAATTTCTGAGACCTCTGTTCAGAGCTCAGGATGGATGGATGGGGCGCATGCTTCCAGAAAGATCCACGAGAGGGCATCGTAGCAAACACTGTCCTCTGTTCATATGACAGACTGCAGAATGTTTTTTTTTTTTTCCTTGTACAATCTATCCAAAATTGCTATTGGCGTAAATGCAGCCAGAAAGGTTTGCGTCGTCCTGGCTTTGGGGTTTCTTATCCCCCTGCGGTGGAAGCTGCGGACAGAAATCCTGAACCCAAGCCCAGTCTGGAAGCCCAGCCCGGTCCTTTGCCCCTGTCAGCCGGAGGCTGTTTGGGAAGGGAAGTTCCTTGCTGACCTGTCTGTCAATAGGTGGAAAGTCAAGTGCAGAGGCCAGTCCTCTGCTCAGAATAGCAGTATGCCAGCCAGGCTTGTTGCAGGGGCTCGAATGAAAGCACATGTCCCCGGGCACACTCCACTGGTGTAGAATGCTGGACTGTCGAGGGTATTTTTATTTTAACTTTTACAAAACCTTTGAGAATTTCATACAGGCACAGAAGGTGTTTTGATGGGATCCGTGCCCACTTCCTCCCTTCCAACACCTCCCATATCTCCCCATCACTTTTTTTCTTTCTTTTTTTTCCTTGTTTCATTTATTTATTTTTATGGGACTGTGGGGTCCTGTTACATTCCCCCATGAGGGTATTTTTTGCTAAGCAGGCTCTACTGGATAAACTCAGACCTAAGTGCGTGTGGGGACACATACGTGGCTGGACTGGTTTTAACACACGTGGCTCTAATTAAATTCTAGGGAGACATGGTGTGCGTTTAAGAGGGGCACACATGGGGATGGGAACTGAATATTATCGAAAAACCTTTCAAAATTATTTTTAAAAATAGAAAAAGGAAACCTTGCACTTAGTAATTGAATCTCCACTTGTTGAACAGAAAGCATTTGTAAACCTCACTGAAAGGAAGCATTCAGAAGGCGTTTATAATGTTAGGGGAAATCAGTACGTCCAAGATAAAAATAATTGAGATTATCAGTGAAACAACAGACGACTATTTTGGAAATGTAAAAAAATAAAAGAAAAGTCTGTCACGTTGAATCTCTACTTCTAGAATCCAAAATATACAATTAAATGAAACCAGTGTAAAAAATAAACGATGTCAGGAGAAATCAGTGCAATACAAAATGGAAGTAAGAATATCCGTAAAAAAACAAAACAGGAATATTTTGAAATTTTCAGAGACACTCTGATGTCGCAAGTGACCTTCCCACATTCAGGAACCTCAGCAGTTTTTACTCAAGAAAGTGTGTTTTGATATTTCGTGGAAAGTTACTAAGGAACGTTTCCATCCCTCACTACATACCATTTTCGTTCCTTATACGTGATTTGTGGCACCTTGTAAAGACACAACGCGTAGTATCCAGAATCCGTATCTAGACTCTTCTGTGCCTTACGCAGGTTCATGTGAGAGGATGACACGTTGATAGTTCAATATGTAAATCCGCGTAGCCCTGTGATGTCTGGAGAGACCCGGTTCCTCGTTAGGCTACATGCAAGCACAGGAAATGCTCACGTGTACAAAACAGATCAGACTGTAGCTACACATGGGAACTCCGAGAACATTAGATACCCATCACAACACGCAGGTGTCTGGCTATTTAATTAATCTCAGTACGCCCAAAAGGAAATTAGGGGACCGGAGGGTGGGGGTGCACTTGAGGGGACAGTGATGATGTTTTCTGCATATGATCCATTTCTACATATGATCCACTGCATGACATTATCAAAGATCAAAAAGCAAGAAAAAGCCAAAGCAATCAAGAAAACGTGCATATCTTTATTAAATGGACGACAGTGATTTTAAAATGTAAAATGATACTATAATTAATTCAAGCAGGTCCTCAGCAAAACAAAATAAAACATTGTTATAGGAAACATAGACCGATACAATCTTACCACCACACAGTAAATACAAAACAGTTAATTGTATGATTTTAAATGGACAGTTGATCAAAAGCAACAAAATTATAAGATATTGGGAAAATAGATCCTGGGGGCTGGAGAGATGGCTCAGCGGTTAAGAACACCGGCTGTTCTTGCAGAGAACCCGGGTTCGAATCCCATCACCCACGTGGCAGTTAACAACTGTCTGTAAGGCCAGTCCCAGGGGATCCGATGGCCTCTTCTGACCTCCGCCGGCACTGCACGATTGCACGACATGGGTGCGCTGACCTATGTACAGGCAATACACACGTACGCATAAAATAAAAACAATAAATAAAATACTACAAAATAATAAAGAAGGAAGTGAACCTGGGCTCGGTGGCTCTCGCTCTGATCCCAGTACTTGGGAGGCAGAGGCAGGCGGATCTCTGTGAGATCTAGAGAGTGACTTCCAG